CCCCAAAACCCCAAAACCCCAAAACCCCAAAACCCCATTTTTAGCAAAATAAATTGAATAAATTTAAAATTTCCTCCTGAGTAATGGTAATCTGGCAGTTTTTAGGCAAAAGTATTTCACTAATATCGTTTCAGAGAGCATAAATTCTGTGGGTTTTGAATGGGCCTGACTGAAAATATAGAGCCGAGTACGAACACCTTGTTCGAGGTCCAGCAGTCCACTGTCTCTTTCGAATAGGTACTTCCAAGCTGAAATGGCTTTACAAAGAGAGATAGAAACAGCTAAGAATCTTTTTACAAAATAAGCTATATCATAGCAGAGAAAGTAAGGAAGAAATGCTAAGAATACTTAAATAAGGTGATAAATAATATTGAAAATGGCCTAACAGAAGATGATGTTTCCTTTGAAAAGTTTTTAATTAATATCAAGGAAGCAGATAGGGTCCTTAATAACAGTGCTCTCTGCACCAAAGCCCTTGGTTCAGGAGGTAAACTTGAAGCAGGAGAATCATTAGTCACCAGACTTAATGAGCAAACCAGCTTCATGCGTAAAGAAATCGAAAATTTTGATCAGCTAAAAATTTCAAGTCTCAGAGATATTAAAAATGATGAGAAAATCATAAAGAAGCATCTAAAAGAAATATGATACAACATCTTAGCATACCATCCTGAAACGTTTAAGGTTCCGAAGAGGGCTCATAAATTCTCAATTTTGACGTCTAACCAAGCTTCCGCGCTTTATGAAATAGAGAAGCCTATTAAAAGGTATTACTCAAACTCATCTGTAGGCCTTCATCTAGGCCTTTGCCTGAGGAAACTGAGCCTAGCTTTCATCGAACTAGCAAGAGTATGTCTAAAGCTTACGGTATGTTCATCATTTCATTTGCAGACACCAAATAGCAAGTTAAACACGACAATGCCTACTGTGCGGGAGTACTCTGAAGGAGATACCCTCAGAAGGAGTATGACTATCTCCAGCCAAACAAAGCATAAAAACACTAAAAGAGATAAAGAAATCCTTCAACTTTCCCAAAAAATTCGAATTAATACCCTAAATTTCTGTGGGAAACAGGGTGAAGGAACTCTGTTGCAGAACAAAATCCAAAAGATTTCGAAACTGATGGACTACACTAATCTGAAAATGTGTGATGGGGTGCTGCACCTAGCCCAGGACAGAACAAATCGAATAAAACAACTCAAAAGATGAAGGAAAGGGTCTAGATCAGTGGCCAAATAAAGTCAATGCAATATATAATCATGAATAGCTTCAAATAATTGATGGTCAGAAGGGGTTTTGGGGTTTTGGGGTTTTGGGG